AAAAATGTCTACATTAGCTGTATATGTGTGAATCTCATTGAATTGATTATTATATTAAAAAGGAATTAAAAAAAACGGCAAAAAATGCAGCTCATTTAGCCAATTAACTTTTTAAACACCACAAATTCTCACCAAGTTGCACATTTTTATTTATTTTTCTATAATTTCTTTGTTACATTTGATTCAGTTAAACATAAATTACCATTTCAGATTATGATCAACAATTCCATTTTAATTTTTTCAATAATTATACAGCTGACTTTGGTGTTAGTTATTTTCACCAGCTGTTGTAATGCTCTTGGCAACAACTATTCATTGTGCATCTTCTCAGTAACATTCAATCAGCACTTAAAACTTGCCATGACAATCCTGAAATGCACAATATGATAGCTACGATAGTTATGAAGTCTTTGTTATCTGCAATAAGTGTGTGAAATCCTGGTATCATCTAACTCAGTGTATTGTGCTTTACATTTAATAAAAATGCTTTTATCAAATTTCACTTTATTGTGCTTTTTTTAAAATTAAATTTGATCTGAGAATTTCATGTTTGGTAGACTAATGCTTGATTACCACATTTGTATTAAATTTGGCTATTACTGGTACACATTACAATATACAGTATTTGATCTAAAACATCACTACACTGTAGTTTTTGTTAGAACTTCAATACAATCTGATTAAATCTGTTTCAACCATTTTTGTTAAATTCATGTTAAATTTTCTTATTTTAATTTAATTGAAAACTGTGTTTTACCTGCAGTTAGATTATTCAAAGTCTGAATATCAAATCTTGTTATCACCACATGGTGTTGTGATCTTTACACCACTAGACATTATTTTCTGCCACTTTTTCTTATATTTTTCAATATTTCTGGAAATGAACCTTGATTTTGGAGCCAACAGACAAATTTCAGTCAATTTTCAGTTTTTACTCAAAAAATTTGGCTATTTTTGTCCAAATCTTCTGAAGGGTAGTGCAGACTAAAAACAGGATTATTTTGTGAATTTGTGATGAAAAGAGGGAACTGGTGGTGAAAAGGTTAATTGAACTAAGAGGATTTCATGTAAAATGATACTACGGTAACATTATCTTTTTAGTAATAGATTCACAAGTGCTTCAGATTTCACAATTTGTATTTAAAATAGCTGCCTTTTTGATCTCTGATACTATAGAGGCAATAACTATGATAATTTTCCTTCTAAACTTTTTTCCAACATTTTATGTACTATTCTCTTCTATAATGCTTAAATTTTGACATATTGTCTGATTTCCCCATCGCCTACAGGTTTTGATCATTTGATGGTTTAAATAATGTTTTACAAAAACTATTATCAAGAACTGTAGCCACTGGAAACTTGTGTCCATTTAGTACAAATTTAACAAAGAAATTATTAACTTTTGTATCAACATTATGGCTGAGAAAATTATGGTGATTATCTTAGGGTTAAAAATTATTTCAAAGTGTCCTACTTAACCAAAAATCTCCCCCATTGAATTGGATATTGAAATGGAATCCTGACAGTTGTATCTAACATAATAGACATGTGTCTAATGTCGTTCTAGTTTAATGAACAACTTATTAGTATATTTGTGTTTGTATTTGAAATGCATAATATAGTCATAGTGTCATGATATATTGTTTGACTATAATCAATAATTTATCATGTATATAGCTATAGTGAGTTTTTTTTTTTAAATTTTATGTGTTTACTATTAATGTGAAATATTAATACTATTAAAACACCTAGGTTTTTAATATTTAATGTAACCATATTTTTCTATTAGGGAAAATCATGCATTAATGGGTTTCCATCTCCCTCTGGTTTAACCAGCCACAACATACTATGCTTAGTGTTTCCATCTCTTTGTGCATGCAGGTTTAACTAGCCACAACATACTATGCTTAGTGTTTCCATCTCCCTGTGGTTTAACCAGCCACAACATACTATGCTTAGTGTTTCCATCTCCCTCTGGTTTAACCAGCCACAACATACTATGCTTAGTGTTTCCATCTCCCTGTGGTTTAACTAGCCACAACATACTATGCTTAATGTTTCCATCTCCCTGTGGTTTAACTAGCCACAACATACCATGCTTAGTGTTTCCATCTCCCTGTGGTTTAA